TGCAGAGCTAGGGCCCACGTGCTGGCCATCCTTACTTCCTTTGTACTCATTACCTCACTATATCACTTCCCCCATGAGAGATTTTTACCCATTAATCTTTACGAGAGGTCAAAAGAGGAAGGTCCAACTTCTTTAACTTCCTCATACTATCAAATCAGGGAGTGAAAAATCCCTTGCTATCAAGCCTAGAGATCTCATTGCAGATTAGCAATGCCTGGAATCCCTTCATGACCACTATTTTTGCCTTATGCTGTTGAATTCTGGAAGAGACACATATGACAATCTAAATGAGTATTCTGAAGCCAAAAGGGAGCAAGGGTGAGAACCATGTCAGATAAAGGAATACATTTTTTACTGCTTCCCAGATAGTCGAACCTTTGGTTTGATCATAAACTTTTTGACATATTTTTCTCATGCCCACTGTTGTTCATGTAAGGGCTGCAGGTTTTATTAATCATAATGTCTATTTCTCCCTGCCCTGCCAGTAGATAATCTAGGACTAGCTTATTGTCAACCATCCCTTTAGCTAAGGAATCTAAAAGAATCACATAGTTGCTCCAAGGCAATTCTATGGTCTGGGCTAGTTACCAAAGGCAACAGGTATCTCAAAGATATATTTTATCCCATTTATCAGTTGGTTCTTTTGCCAACAGCAGGGTTGGGCAATGGGAATGGAACAGAGGAGTCAAGAAGCACCCTGTCTGGAGCATAGCCTGTCACCATACTCTGTCACAGGAGCATTTTGTCCTTTTGTATTTGAACTTTACCCAGAAGCAAAGATGCTTTCCAAATCCAGCTCACTGAAGTAAACCCTTGTTCAGGAGCCTTCTCCTTCTTCCCTGCTCCCTGATGTTCCCAATGCAGGCTGCATCTCAGCCACCTGGAAGTGTCTCCTGGCCCCAGAACTGACATTAGGCCAAATGAGGTCAATTCATGCAGATACCCCATCCTCCTCCTGGGAATAAAGAAATTTCCCCTCCACCCAAGCCAAAGCAACAGCACAAACTTCCTGAAGCTGTGCTAGAACAAACCTCTTTGAGCAGGGCTATGTGGCTGTGTTCTCTGGTGCTGGGCATGCATTGCCCCCAGGGGCACACACATTCTGGGCCTTGGCCATGGTCTCTAGAGTCTAAGAAGACAGATGGAGGAGACACTCATCAGCAAGTTTTGATACCTGACCCCAGCGAGACACCCCCAGGCCTTGGTGTCCCATCTCCAGCAACACTGGGCAGAATGCCAAGTTATGTCATTCCACCAGTGTGTTTTCTCTGAATATGAACTGTAGAACTGAGAAAACAAGCCGTTTCTCTAGACTTAAATTCAGGGTTAGCCACTCTAAGACTAGTGATGAGAATTGCTGAAGCATGTTAATGCACATATGGGGTGAAGGGGAAAGATATGGTACTTTATTATTATTTTTTAATGGCAAGGAATACGTAACAACTTAGGTAACAAATTTTTAAATTAATAGCTGGAAATGTAGACCCTATCCTTTTAAAAACACCATATATAGTTATATCCTGTATTATTTCAGTTAGATCCACAGAAAAAGAGAGAGGGAAGAGAAATACAAGAAACAGGAGGAGTCAAAAGCACAAGGAAAGATTCATAAATAAAAACATGAATTACTGATTGGCACTGCGCCAGGCACAATCATACGCACAATTCATGGTTTTCCTCATTTAATCTTCCGCAAACCCTGTGAGGGAAATTAGTGTTTCTTGTTTAGATGGAGGAAAGTGAGGCACAAAGGCACTAAATCTTCTGACAACTGAATGCAGTTCAAAAGCAAGGAGCCAGTTTGGAAATCCAGTTCCCAGTAATCACTAAATCTCACTTACCAAAGTCAAAGAAGGAGACAACCTTTCTTCTGAAATGAGCTTCATCCTCTTATCTTTAGAATTCTGTAGCCAAACACTTTATCATTTCTTAGCTAGAGGAATTACTGGGGAAATTTTGTGCTTCAGCGAAAACAAAGCAGTGTCCACATCTTAACTCAGCCTCCCTTATCTGATTCTAGTGTTCATTGCCCTTGAAGCATTTTACAACTCTGTAACTTGGATAACTTACACCAAGGCCAAATGCAAATTCTGTCCTATCCTATAGAAGTTTCACTGACTTTATCCCTTCCTGTCAGAGAGGTTGGTTCCCATCTGCACATTCAATTCAACATTTCAGCATTTATCCCTATAATTTTGTAGGTTTGTTTGTTTGTTTGTTTGTTTTTGCTTTTCTGAACTGATTTACACCCTTAGCTGTTTTCTCACTAATGAGTTAAACAATTTACCATCTGTTCATTTTTTTTTTAACCTACATACGAAGCTATCTTTGAATGAGAAAATCAAACTATTTTCCTAATGCTCTCTGGAGAACCCTGGTTATGATCTAACCCAAATGGTTTCTAGAGGGAATGGAAATGTGGGCATCTAAGTCTGTTGTTATAGCCTCACCCGGTCAAGTTCCTGTCAAACACTGCTCTATCCTTCACACAGTTCCACTTCTCTCATCTTAGCTGTTCTTTACTTTCACTGAGGAGAAGTAAGTTGTATCTAAATTATACAGCTACATATCCATTATGTATTCTCTGCTATGTCTTATGGGCTATTTCAGGGCATATAGCCAAATAGCTGATGAGAAATTTCCTGAGAATTTTTGGAAAATAGCAATAATAAGCACATGAGCTATGTTGTTACACAAAGCACAAAATATGTCACAATTCCGTTTCTTTAACCTTAGATACAAGGAGATCTCACAGCCCATTTCTATTGTCTTGGCAAAACGATGTTTCGTTGTATGAACTTTGAGTAATGGAAGCACAGTTCAAATCCCATTCCTCCACTTATTACTATATGGGATGGGGAGATTCAGTAACCTCTGCCCTCCAGAGTTTATCCCTCTGTACAAAGGGTTAACATGTCTGCCATCTGGGATTCTTCCTGGAGTTTAAAGGAGACCACACAGAGAGTATGACACTATGCACCTGCTTTGGAAGTTGGCCCCTGAATTATTAACCTCTGACTTCAAGACTTGCTATAGAATCAGTGACTAACCTCGCCTCCCCCATCAGTTTATGGGAAAATGATGAATCATTGGCAGCTCTTCAGAACTTGAAATAGATCATTGTGAATAACTGGGAATCAGTTCCTGGTTTCTTGCAGCCACCAGCTCCCTGTGCTAACCCCAGGAAGTTTTAGAGAGACGAGTTTGTGGTATGGCATGAAGAGGCTGGACCATTCCCATCTAACTAACACCTAGTCCTGCCCGATACCATGGTGAGAACTGTCTCCCTGGACACTCCATGGTTGGAAAAGCTGGAACCCAATGAGAGCCAATGTCCTAATGAGTCACCTCCCCAAGTGTAGCATTAGTTGGCTGAAGTTGGCCAATTCATCTCATGGCTTGGTCATTCTCTCTGAGGACTCTGATATGAACACCCCTCACCAAGCCCAACTAACACTACACACTTGCAGGATACAAGCACACCATGGATTCTCCCTGCCTTATGTCTTCCTTTCTTCCCACAAAGAAAAAAACTGGCAAACCCAAGGAGCCAGCAATGTTCAATGCTCAATGCCTTCCCAGCTATTCAAACCCAACCTCAATCTTCATTTACTTTTGCTTGCAAACATAATACAAAGAGAAAAAACCTGGCTTTCCCTTCTACCAAAACTACTAAAATCAAATGCATTTTTGCTACAAAAATCATCACAAAAAGGGTTGCTCTGACTCTGGGATTTTGTTGTTGTTGTTGTTTCTCAATTATTCCACAAACAACCCCCAATCTCCTGACAGGCAGAGTTGCTGGGCCAGCACAGACCAGGAAACGGAAGCAAGTGTGGCAATAGGACTCGACTCTTTATTTCCTGGCTGTGTGATTCTTTGTTTTAGAAGTTAAGAATCAGAGCCTCAGAGCCTCGTGGGGTCTAGAACCCTTCAATTCAATCTGTAAAGATGAGGCACGGAATCTTCCACAAGGGCTTTCTGAGCCTCTGCTTTCTTAACTATAAAATGGAGTTCTTTTTGACTTTCTTGAGCGACACTGATTTAACCTTTGCAATATTATATGACAAATGAGAAAACAGAAGTTGTAGAAATCTCCCAAGGTCACACAACCAATCTGAGATAGACCTACTGACAAAAACACTCAAAACCTGCTGGAAATGCCTGAAATACTTCATTCTTTCCAATAGTTCAAAATCTCTACAATCTTGTTACCACCCTTCATTTGTTTACAAGTCTATTTTTCTGACATAGATAAGGAAAATGTTTAACTCAGTCCAAACCCTTTCCAAACAAAGACATGTTCCAAACCAACTAGAAATGACAAGGTTTCCCCATCTATATTGCCAAATTCTACCTGTTTTTTGCTGTATTCTTATACCTATATTGTGCAAGAATGTCCACATCAACTGATCAATGGTCTAATAAAATCTCGCTCATATCCCTATGATATCCTGGTCCTTGGCAGGAGTAAGAGAAGGTGAGTCATTTCCTATGACGTGTTTCTGCAAACTTCCTACAAATCCCTTGAAAGTGGAATTTGTTCAGGTGTGTGGAAAGCCAGCTGGGGAGGGATTACAGGCCTGTGGTTGTTAAAGGAGTGGACGCTGGACTCGGATACCTTCACTGCCCCTCTCAGCTATTTCCTGGTGTGACATGGTTTTGTGCCATCCTCTAAGCTCATATATCTCAACTGTAAAATTAGAGGGAAGTACCAATCCTAGTGTAATTTTGTCAATGACTCTTTTCTTATCATGCCAACAAGAGCCTGGCATTCTTTGGGCAAGTATCCCCAGTTTCTAAAGATGAAGTCAGGAAAATATGATTCTGAATATAAAACAGTTTCATTCACTATAAAACAGTTTCACCTCCCTGACTCCCTGGCATCTTGCTCCTGGGATTTACTCTTTTTATCCCTGTAAAATGTTTCTTTCTTTTCTTCTGATTAACTTTCTTATCAATATGAAATTAAAAGAAAAGGTTACATTCAGGTTACCAAGTGCCAGTCACTTAAAAATCTCTATTTCTTCAAACAATTCTTCAAATTAAAAGAGAGCAAAGATTGGGCAATTTTTAAAAACTTAATTACAAGATCATTATTATTTTAGACTGAGGATTACAGACCAGAGTGAAGAGTCCCAGGAATTAGACAATTCTTTCTGGGATTGCAGACAGGGAAAAACAAAACAAAACTCTGGACTGCTAACCTGGATGATGCTGACAGGTTGGCTGGAAGTTCTGACGTCTAATAGGCTCAGCTGACCCCTGTGAAGTGCATAGGAAAGGAAGAGTTCTTAATAAATGTCTGGATCTGGGTCTGGGCAGACATGCAGCACAGTGGTTAAGCTGTCCACACCTCATATAGGGTTATCTAACTCAAGATCTGGCTAGTCTAATTCCCACCCGGATTGCTGCTAACATGTACCCAGGAAGTCAGCCCTGAAGACAAAAGTGCTCCGGTTCTTGATACTCAGATGAAGATCTGATGGAGTTCTGGGCTCTTGTACCAGCCCCAACTGTTGCGGGTATTTGAGGAATAAACCAACAGACGGAAGCTGGCTCGTTCTCACTCTCTCTGTGTTATGATAGAAAAAAAAGAAGAAATTAAAAATTAACTTCCGGACTTTCGTGGGCATGGGAATGACCAAAGATCCCACTGATGGGTCTGTTGACTAACTAGATGCACAGATGGAGTCAGGCATTGAAGGCCTGGCAGCTAGTCTGTCCCTCCAAAACAATCCTCAGACTTTTTGAAAACATCTATTTATAAGTTTTTAAAACTTGAGCACTCCCACAGTATACAGCTATTTATCGGCTTGTAAATAACGTTGCACTAATTATACAACATAGTACTCTATGCAAATTATCTAGTGCTAATATATTGTAAGCATTACACAAACACATAGAGTTTTCTAAATATGACATAATCAAATATGAAAAGTCTGTCCGGCCCTTATATATCCTAGGCAATGACTCTCAAACTTCATTGTAACCCAGAATAACCGGAGAATGTGTTTAACAGAAAGGTTCACCAGACTCTCACTCGAGCTTTGTCTTAATCATCGTTTAGCTGAACCCATAATCTGGCCCTTCTCTGAGTTCCAAGGTGACTAATGCTCCTTTCAGTTTTGGAAGCATGAATCCGGCCTGTTCTGGGTTCCTTTCTCCTTTCTTGCTAAAATTGCAATGGTGATTCTTGCTGTTGTCTGCCTCCTTGGCTCCCTAGATGAATTTAAAACAATGACAATAATAACAGCTTCCATGTATTGTTTCCCAGTAGTCAGGATTGCTGAAGACTTTTCACACATTGCCTCACTTAATCAGATCAGGCAGGAATTAGTCATCAGTCCCCTAATACGAAGGGACAAATTGTCAATGTCTTACCTATGATTACACAGCTAGTATATGATAGGAGAGAGATAGGAAGCGAGATCTATGTGGTTCCAAAACCTGGAGTTTTGACCACCAAATAAATTATCTCCCAAATAATTCACCACAATTTATTGAACCTCTATCACAATCCAAGTTCTTCACTGGTCCCTTGCTTAGAAAAGTCTGCAACAGTCAGGACATGCCTATATTTGTAGAGTTGTGACAATCCTGATGTATAATAAATAAGTTTATTTTCTGTAACCCACCTGAATTACTAACCCTATACACCTGTCTTTGGGCCTTTCTGGGTTATTTCTCAGCCTTCCCCCAATCGTTACTGATGTTATATATCTGGAGCAGGCACAACAGCCAGGCATGGAGTTGAAGAGTCAGCAGCGGGTTCTCTGTCATCAGACCACATGGGTGGCCACTGAGGGGCCTGTACTTTCATCAGCATGACTTCCAAGTTGAGGACATCTTTGACCAAGCCACATACAGCCATTTCCTCTCTGGGCTCCCATCTTCCATCTGGGTTCCCAGAAGGCAAGTGACTATTCCCTCTGCTCTCACACCCAAGAACCCATCTCTCCTTCCTCTGTACCTGCAAAGTCCAAGAGACTGATGGAGAGATGGGGGTGTCCTTCTCCCTCTGCATCTTTTTATAACATTGCAGCCTTTTGCTTTTCTTTTCAGCTGAGAATTCACTTGCTGTGAGATACACTATTTGGGAGAGACACAATATTTGCAGACTTCTGTCTATCTTGTTCCAAAATATTTATAGACTTCTATTTTGTTTTGTTTAAGTAGGAGGGAGCACAGGGGAACAAGTTGAGGCCCACATGATAAGCTGACATCTCAAATTACCCCCATTTTAGACGTGAGGAGAGGGAACTCTTGAACATTATGTAAAGTTTTACACAAGTGGCAGTAGCAGACCCAAGGTCCCCAGGCTCTAGTACCTCACACACAATGAAGGCCTCCCTAGCAACCTCTCTGCTCAGCTTCAAGGAAACACAACAGTCTGAGGGTGGAAGAGGCAGGGAGAGCATGCGTAAAGGGGGAAGCAAGCAACATCCCTGCAAGGGGGATGGACAGCCAATTCGTGGTTTCCAGCAGAGCTCCACTCAACCTGATTTGGCAGGAAATGGTGGCAGAGGAATTTGAGGGTGAGGCAAAGAAACAAGTGAGAGAGAACTACATCGACTCAGAAGGCTTTATCCATGTGGGATACTATCCAGTATCCAGTAGGTTAGTATTTCCCAGGTACTTGGTTTTGTTGGTGCCTCATGGTGAGTCAGTCTACAAGGAAGGATAGGGAATGGAAGTGGCTACTCAGAGTACTCAGAGGAAAGGGAGAAAGGTAGGCCCAGGGAAAAGGAGACCAGGGCTTTTGTGTCCCAACAATAAAGGAAAAAGGAAGTGAAGTAGACCAGTCACCTTCTATTTAACTGTGTAGAGTCGGGAGGAGTCATTCGGGTATCCAGGTATACCTGCTTCAGAAGCATCCCCAGGGTGCAGCCCTTTGGAGGAGGAATAGCCAGAGGAGAGCTCATGGGCTTTGGGCTGCAGTTACGGTGGTAGAACATCTGCTCGTGGCTTCTGGAAGGTACTTTCAGGCACACCCACTAGGGTGATCATGACCAAGTTATTCAGTTGCGCACTCAGCATTTCCATTCAGCCAGCCAGCTGCACACCCAAAGCTTAATTCCTAGTCTCCCACCACCAAAACTTCATTACTCTCAGCTTTTCCTCCTTCAGCTCAAAACAACCCCACTAATCTGCTCTCTCAAACCAAACTCCTTGAAATCATCCTTAACTTCTCTCTCCTTCTCCCATATCCCAACAGTCAGAAAATCCTGCTGGCCCAGTACCTTCAAAATATATCCAGCTCCTGTCTCCACCAATCCCAGTGCCATTATATAACCACACTGAACCAAGCAGTCATCACCTGTCACTGAAGAAACCTCGTCACTTTACCTTTGACTGCTTGCAAACTCAAGTGGTATTTCAAAAGTATAATAAAATAACTCCATTCTTTCACTCAGAACTGCTCCACGAGTCTTATGCTGTAAAAGCCAAAGCTGCTCACTGGCTCCATTGCTTTTCCTGGAACAAATCAGACTGGTGCCTACTTGAGGACCCTTGCATTCTCCTCCCCTAAGGTGTCCACAGGGATAACTCACTCACTTCCCTCAAAACCTTTGTTCAAAGTTCCACTTCCCACTAAGTTGCACCTGGACCCCTCTGTTTAAAAATCACTACCGCAGTGTCTCTCCTCCGCCGCCTGCATTCTCTTTTCTTTTTCTATAGGTCTCATTGCATTGTTACACTCAATATAAACTGTTCTTACAACCGTTTTCTATCATCTGACTCCTGCTACCCACACCAGGACCTGAGCTCCACAAGGATTCAGATCTGCTTGATTCACTTGTGTATCTCAACTCTGTAAAGTACCTAACACAGGGTAGACGTACAAACAAAGATGAACAGTTGCAATAACACAAGGGACTCAACGAATAGCACAAGAGCCAGATGCAACAGTATCACCCAACCTGGGCTTGCTGGGCTGCTTTACCTCTCAGTTGGAGTTTTTTTTTTTTTTTTTAAGGTTTATTTTATTTTTATTGCACAGTCAGATAAACAGAGAAGGGGCAGAGAGGAAAATCTTCTGTCCAATGATTCACTCCCCAAGTGACCACAATGGCTGGAGCTGAGTCTATCTGAAGCCAGGATTCAGAAGCCCCTTCTGGGTCTCCCTCATGAGTGCAGGGTCCCAAGGCTTTGGGCCATCCTCCACTGCTTTCCCAGGTCACAAGCAAGGAGCTGGATGGGAAGTAGGGCCGTCAGGATCACAGCAAGTGCCCATATGAGATTCCGGCGCATGCAAAGAGAGGACTTTAGCTGCTAGACTATCGTGTTTGGCCTCAGTTGGAGTTTTAATTAACCCAAGAAGGAAATGGCATGTTTACTCTTGGATCATGTTCACATGGGAATCTGAGCAAAGACATCTTTCCTGCCTCATCAGCTCCTCCTTAACCCTGAGTTTAGGGATTTTCGGCTCCTTTTATCTACAGGAAAGGGGACACCACACACTTTAGTAATTTTGCTCAATGGAAAATGAATTCTTCAGGGTGGTTTTGGTTGAGCAGCGTCCTTTCTTTTCCTTTCAAGGCTTAGTCTGCAGTTGGGATACCACTGTTCTGAGCTACCAGCCCTCCCCACTTGTGGTGTTGTCAGAGGGACACTTGGGCAACTACACCAAAGCCACCTACCTCTGACCTTTGGCAGAATTTCCAAACACGACCCTTTAACTCTAAATTGATTGATTCAGCATTACGACCTTGGCCCAAGAAGGCAAGGATACACGACAAAGTATTTTATTTTCACAACATTATCAGGATAAAAAGCTGTGTTCTAAACTAATCTTTTGTGTGTTAGATACAGTTAGAGTTGGGGTTGGGGGCAGCAAAGAAGGTGTCTGAGCACTGGATACCATGTGGAAAAGTTAATTATTAATGGGCGGACTTCCCTGATAAAGTATCAATAGCCATTCTGGTTTCTTTGGCTTCAGAAATTTACAAGAAGGCCTCGAGACCCTGAGTGAGACAGGAGAAATGGGAATTCTCCCGTGGGTCCCCATTTTCTTGGTTATATGCGTCTTGATCCAATCAAGTGCCCTTGGACAAAGCCCAAGACAAGGTAAGAGCCCATCTTCTTTCAGAAATGGGCATGGATTTTCCTTTCTTAAACGTGCGTCACAAAGAATCTGAAGGTTTCTGACTGTGTGAGACACATCTTGCTCTGAGGTATACCAGGTGGTTTAAATGGTGATCTCACAGGTTTCCAGTGACATGTAAAAGTTGATAAGCAGGACTTGAGTCTTAGAAAACAACTCTGAGAATACAGGTCTTCTATAAGCACCTGCAGCAGGCAGCAAGATCTCTCTTGTATCTGATTCTTGGAGTCATGCCACAACTCTTTGAGCAGAGAATGATATGAAAGAGTTTCTGATCTTCCTGAGAGTTAATCTGGCATCTAATTTGCAATTGGGAAACACAGCTTGCTGTGAAATGCTCCATCTTGTTGGAATTATCTAATTGCCTGGCTCTCTCAGAAGAGAGAACAGTTCTGAGAGTCCTGTTTCCAGGCAGGTCTGAAGCAGAGAAATCATGGCACAGTTTCCAGACTGCAGTTTACTGCCAAAGTTTAACCCTGTGTCTAAAGAGCTCAACCTATTTGTCCTGCCTATTTTTCTGGAAATTCTCCAATTTGATTGATGGCCAAAGACAGATCCAAATGCTTGATAGGGTAGGTGGAGTCCAGATTCCTGGCTGAATAGGACCAATAAAGGATGAGTGTGATGTTAACTATTTGGCCTAACTTGGCAGCTATTGGGACTTTTTTTTTTTTTTTTTTTTTTTTTTTGCCAATTACTTGTGAAGAGCTAGTAATGCTAAGTTATATACTAAGTTTTTCTTTCTTTAAATTTTATACTTCCAGAGTTGTAAAAGCTTGAAAATTAAGAATTTACTAACGGGAAATATACCTGAAAATCACAGAAACTTCCCCTTTAAGAAAAAGGGATGTTTTGTGTTTGTTATCTCACCTCCTAGTTGATTAATAAATGGCTCATTAACAATACAAAGGCTGTTCAAGAAGTTCATGGAAAATACATATTATGAAAAGCACGTTTCAGTAATTCTGTACCAAAATAAATATCTTTTCATTCCAATTTCCTATGAACTTTGAATCTTCATTTAGTGCCGTTCACTGAGCATTGTATATGCCAAGCACTATACTAATTATTTTAATGCACCATCTCATGAATAAAACCATGTCCAAAATTGGCCTTTCCATAATAATTGGGAGCCATGCGGGCAAGCTTTCTGATATTTTTTATTTGCTGTGTTCACAGTGATTTTCCCCTGTCCTTTGGCCCAGAATAATATTTCTTTCCTACAAAATTGGATCTTATAAAAGGATCCGATTAATTTTCACCAACTGAACCAGTATCTCCAAAGCCTTGAGTGCCCCCTTGAGACTCAATATACATTATTTTGCCATTGAGGGGACATTTCATACATGGAAACTTGAGTGTTCTCTTGTGTCTGACTTGGTCTCCATCAGTGTTAGGCTTGTAAGTTTTCCGTGCATTTCGTGCTGCAGCAGCTCATTCAGTCTCATTGCTGACGTATTCCCACGTGTGACTGTACTGCCATTCCTTTGTCGATTCTTCTACTAAATGGTCTCAGTAGGTTTTTGTCACTGAGACTTGGGACTCAGAAGCCCCTGCCCCGCACCTGTGGCAGGACAGAGGCTGAAGCAAAGGATGATTTCCTCCAGGCTTCTGAGTATTGTTCTCAAACATCTCATTATCCTGATCAGCCTGATGGTTTACCTGGCTCCTGGTTAATCTGAAAGCTATGGGCAGTGACCATGAGTAGCAGGAATCCTCAGGAGGCGTCTTGTTCCCTGAAAAGCAGAATCTCTTGGTAGATTTCTTTCTATGAGGAGAGGGAAAGATCTGGGTCCTTGAGGCTGGTGTGACGTCCTCCTGGGGACACCGAGGGGAAAATGACACCCACAGTGGCTCTTGGCAGATGAGAGTCTATGCCCTTCGTCCTCAGAATTGAATCTTCCAGCATCTCATGGTGACAGACCAGAAATGCTGCTAAAGAGCCTGCAATGCGCACAACACACACCCCTTCACAACCATGAGTTATCTGGCCCCTAGTGAACCAGCTTGAAGCTCAGAGACTAAAGCCCAATTACCACTCATCAAGAAAGTATTCACTCATGGACTCTCCCCACTTGGCCTCAAGCCTTCCACCCCACTTTGTTCAAATACTAACAATAGCATCTTACAAATAGACTCAGTAATGCACTATGCACCCAGTACATGCCAGACACTGCACTGACTCCTCCTCACTGGATGGTTGAGCAAGTCAGATGTTGATTGACTTGTTGGAGATCCTGCAGCTGGACAGAGCCGAGAGATGCACATAGAGGCTCAGTCCTTCTGTGGGACCACAGTGTTCTCTATCATGCTCATGCCCAATGACTTGCTAGCCAGAGATCCTTAGAAAACATTCTGCTCAGCTCCTATTACAGGCAAAGTGGGTTCGGACACTTGTCCCTGCCCTTCTGCGCCAAGGGGATGGGATGCAGTGAGCTTGCTGAGCCATTGTCACCTTTCATGCCACCTGACCCCCTGGTCCAGTCCACTGATGTTTGTTGCCACCAAAGCCAGTTCTGCTCTAGATGGCAGCTCCTGCTGTTAGGCTCTGAGGGTGTCATCGTCCAGTCATCAGTCCCACTCTCAGCAGAACTTCTGCTCCTTGTCATACGAGGCGTAGCTTACAAACGTCAGGAGGCAGCTAAAGGCTTGCCATCAGCCATTCATGGATGTAATAAACATGTTTCATGTGCTAAACAAGCATCTACTGAATATAAGGGAATCTTGAAAGCTTCAGGGAAATAGTTTATTTGGATGCAAAAAAATATGAAATTCATGCATATGGGAGGTATTTTGAAAAAAAATTCATGGAAAATACTATTATGAAAAGTTACATGATTTTCAAAATTATTTTCCACCAAAATAAACTTATCTTTTAATTTCATTTTCCACCCTCTTTGAAGTTTCCTTGTGTAAGGCAATGCATTAGTGCAATTCAAGAATTCTAGTCTAGAATGAATTTACTCTCTTAAAAATTATTGAGAAGAAGGTATTGTGGTGTCAGAAGGTTAAGCAATTGCGTAGGACACCTACATCCTATGGCAGGTGCCTGGTTCAAGTCCCAGCCATCCCTTGCTTCTGACCCAGCTTCCTGCTAATACACATGGAAGACTATGAAAGATGACCCAAGTGCTTGGTTTCCTGCCACCCATGAAGGAGACCTGGATGGAGCTTCTGGCTTCTTCACATTTAGGAAGTGAACCAGTGGACAGAAGATCTATCTCTGTTTCTCTCCCTCTTATGCTGCCTTTAAAATTCATTAATAATTTTTTAAATAGTATTGAGGACCCCAGATAGCCTTTTTTATTCAATATGCATCTATACACATTGCCAAATTACAAAATCGAGCTTAGAAACCTTAAAAATGTGTATCTGTATTTAAATATAATAATCAACCCACTGCGTGTTAACAGATAACATTATTTTATAAGAAATAATTTATTTTTCCAAACAACAAAAATGAGTTAGAAGAGTGACATTGTTTTTGCAAAGAAATTTCATGTCTTTCATGTCTAGCTTAATAGAAGTAAGCTAGATTTCCTTGGTTTCTGCATGGTCTGTGGTATGTAGCTTGGTTTGATGTGTATCAGGAACATGTTACCTCCCCTGTAGGAAAAAGGGGAGCAGCCTTGGTGATCCCCTGGCACCCTGACCCACACACTGAGAACCCTGGCACTGCACCACACTCACTGGAACTATGTACTCCTGTCACATCGGTGCTCCAGGCTGTGAAACTGGCAGTTGAATGCCCTGGAAGCAGCAACAAGAGGTGCTCACTCCCAGGACAGCTCCATTCGCTGCTTCTCTGTCCACCAATTGTGAACCCAATGCCCACATCCCCACCATGGCCTCAGTGCCCTATTTCTATCCAGTAACCACAACTCTGCAAAGCATGCTGGCTACTCACAGGCAACCCAACAAGGGAGAGGATGGCCTGGTGCCCAGGCAGACAAGTCCAGATTACCTTACCCAAGCAGATGTACCCATCAAACTCAGCCAGTGGTGAGTGGGAAGGTGCCCTGACATCCATAGCATCCGCATAGGACAGGAAGACGGTGATTCCCACACAGCCTAGAGCTGGGGTTTGACCCACCAGGGAAAAGGGACTGTCCGGAAGGCTGTGGACCATGGCTGGACATCAGTCCCACTGTGAGAGCCAGACAGTAGGCCAAGCCTGGTATGTACCACAGGGGTATTGTGTGGGACCCACTAGGGATCCAGGGGCAGGCAACCTCCCCACTGGCTTCTCAGACAAGCTGCAATCCTTAGCAATGGCCACAAGGTAGCGCAGTGATGTCTCAGGAGCTTCAGGGTTGCAGGAGAGGGTTCTGGAGCTTGAGCCCGTGGCTAACCTCTCTTTCCTCTGTTTGACTCTATTTCCAGGCAGGCTCATAGTTCTGATGTTACCCTAACGCAGGCGGCACGGCGGGGTGGGGACGGGAGGGGGAGAGTATTTAGAGAAAAGTGGAGAATATCAGAGGCAGAGATGGGAACCTCCTGCTCTGCCCACAGCATTTTCACCTCTGTGAGGGTTCACTCAAGCTCACGTTCCTAGGCGTGGTAAGTAAGCCAGCATCGCTGCTCCACGACCTGTTGTGTGCCCGTGGAATACTTTTCTGACGACATGCGGGTGGCAGCAGTGACAACACAAAGCGGGGAGAATACACTTTGTATGTGCCCTATGTGCCCTGTGACCACAGCATGTGGAAGTGACTCTAGACAATAACACTGGCAGAAAAGGTTAAAAAGGGGGTGGGGCTTTAGTTTATATATTTTTCCCCTTTCAAATTTTATCTGATCGTGCAACATTATATACGGCATATGTAACAATCCGCAATTTAAAAATAAATTTACTTCAACATGATCAAGTGAATGGGATTTGATCAGATCGTGGTTCTGGAAACTTTCATGATAGCAGAAAATCCAGGGAGTGCTCATGAATACTGCTTAAAGGGCCCACTTG